TAAGGTAGAGGTCACCAGGAACGGGCACCCCTTTATGTAAGCAGACGTCGGCCGACAGTGACGGCCTTTAATGGCGACGGGCGCACTCCTCCTTTGGTAAAACTGCTCAGTAGGAAATGTCAGAAGAGGCTCTGGCTATAATTCCTATTCAGCAGAATCTTTTTACATGGCGTTTTCATTGAGCTATTAGGGAAAAAGTGATCTCAGCGGAAAACACATTTTTCAGCCAAACCAGCCAAATTGGCAAGATTTTGTGTTGGCGAGAGGTCGAATTTTGCGCAAGCGCCTTGATCACGTGATCTGCCACGCGAGAGCGCTGATGCGTACAAGCTCCATATTGGGTAAAATCCCGCCTGCCCACTGGCGCTTAGTTTCTGCCCCTTGGGAATTGGCCTCGAGTGACTTCTCTGAATGGAGTGGCAAATGTAGAATCAAAACCAGGTTATAGATACACTAATGCAGCCTGCTGAGACATTTCTCAGCCTCCCCTCTACCTTAAACTTGGTACGGGCAAGCGAAATCCCTCGGATTTTGCGCCTCCCACGATCACGTGATGGAGCTTACGTAAGAGTGCCCGTTCCTGGCGACCCCTACCTTACTCACGGAAAGAATTGTCTGAATATTAATGCGACCGAAACAATCGATTATTTAGCGCGCATGCATATGAGGTGCAGTAACCCTACTCGCAAACACAGCTAGTGCATTGAGATACGATTTTTAATGCTCTATACGATACATTGGGATTTTCTTTGGCTTAGCAATGTCAGTGCCATTCCCATCAATGTCAGAGCCATTGTCGAAAGAGTGCCATCACACCCGAGTAGCCTCTGTAGAAGCGCCAAGTCGCTGCAGTCCCGACACCACATGCTTTTGGCCGAGCAGCCATGTTTGCTTCCCCATCTCATCTGTTCTGCCAAGTTTGAGCGGCTCTACATGCTTTGCTCCTTGTTCTTTACATTGTCTTAAGATAATCCCGTTGACATTGCTGCCAGTACACCACGACCGGAATTTGATGCAAAGCTGCCTTCCCACTGATAGACTGCCCTGCCCAAGCCTATAGTGACACCGGGCCCAACATGGCGTCCTCAGCATCCAAACCCGAGCCTATGAATGCCACGACCCACCATTCAAAGGTGCGGACCACGCTCAAATTCGCAGACCCGCTCTTCGTGGCGGGAGGAGCCGTCTCTGGCAAGATGGAAATGGAATGCAAGACCGACAAAGGTCTCGGTATTGGTGTTATCATGATTGAACTCTTTGCTATTGAGGGTACGTCTCTTCACACTCATAGGGAGTGGGAACATTTTACTCAACTGTCCGCGTAGAGCTCACATCTAGGGACCACTCCGCTATGCAGACCTTTCTGCACAGTCGACGAGTCTTCCAGGGACCAGGTTTACCCCTATCGAATGCCGTGCACCCTTTCCCCATGCCTGACGAACCTACCTTGCCCGTCAATTACCACCATGCGCGACGAGGTGCCACTTCCTTCCTCTTCCGTTTTCCGTTACCAGAGACGTCTCCGTCCTCGATCAATTTTGGCTCCGGTGTAGCGCAGCTCAGATATGAAGTCCGGGCTACTGTGGGAGTGGTGTACAAGGGAGAGCGAAGGTTACTTATCGACAGGAAAGTGGTGGACGTGGTGGAGGTGTACCGAGACGATCCCTCGCGACCCGAGCCACAAGGGATGCTCGTTGGAGAGAACGGAAAGATACTGATGCAAGGAAAGGTCCTAGGTGGTGTTCTGGTTGCTGGGCAGCCGGTTTGTGTAGAGCTGACCGTCAAAAATCACTCCGCAAAAAAGGTCGATATCTCACATAGCTTGCCCACGTCATCTGATATATTCCTTTGTCGCAGAACACCGGGTTGGCTTTGGATTTAAGTCGAGATTTGCAACTAGCGCATGTTGGCCCTAACGAGGGGCCGCCACTGCAATTATCAGATACCCTTACGTCTGTTTCGTTTCAAGGGCCGGAGTTCGTTATTCAACCGGGGTGGAAGGTGTTGCTAATCTCGTTTTCGATGTGCCTCCTCGGGCGAGAAGTATTAAAGGTGGCCTACGCGACGGTGGCGAGGATGGGAAGACTTCAGAACATCTGTTCGAAGTCCGAGGTACGATCACTATTCGTCTCGCGCTTGGTTTTGGGAGGTGAGTGACCGCACTACCAGACTGGCGCCGACTGACCTTTGCTTGGCAGTAAAGACATGTATCTGAAGCTCCCTGTCTCAATCTTTAACCCAGCGGCGCTCCCTGATCCACCCCATATGCCTTACTCTCCAGAACTTCGGCCGTACTCTCCCGCGATTGGTGTTCCGCCGGATGCGTACTATTCGCCATATTCGTCCCCTCCTCCGCTTTCAATGTCACCTCCTCTTCACAACTACGCACCACCGTCTGTCACGCCAAAAATGCTACCTTTCGTGGATCAAGGGCGCGTCTGGTTGCCGCCATTGTCTCCGAACCCTTATCTTGGCCGTCAACCCCTCTACTCGCCATTTCCGTATCCTGCGTATCCTGCGGACCATGTTCTTCAGTACGATTTCCCTGTTCGACCGTCGAGTGCGGAGCCAATCCCTTCAGAGCCGCTGTATGAGTCCCCTGCAGCATTGCCACCACCTTCATTCATGCAGCAGCCGTTGGTCGCTACTCCTGCTGGTTCCTCTCCTGCGGCCGAACGAGTTGAAGGAAAGGGTGAACGTGCTTCTCGCATCACCCATCATCTGCGCTTGTCCTCAAGAGCACGGTCGGTGTCTCCAATGTCGCACAGATATGCGACACTCGCACCGGAGGACTTATCAGGACTATCGCTTCACGTGCCCTTGCAAGCAGAGGCTTCGCCGCAAGGAGGTTCTGCGTATGCTATGTCTCCTGTTGGCCATGCTAGTACCAACTCCGACGTCGCCTCTCCCCGACCAATGCCATCACCCAAACAGACGTATACCGTAGACTCAATCACGCACCTCACTTTTAGTAAGAGCGAGCGAGTAGAGGCATTGGAACGCATTGCTGCCCAGACAGACGAGACGAACAAGGATATGTCCGGTTCTGTCCCAGATCTCACGTTTGAGCGAGACAAGACGCTCCCCGCGCCACCCGTGCCCTCACAGAAAGGACATCTTACAGCCCAGCCTTTGGTGCCACCGGTGGATATCTTCTCTCTCTGTGCAGATGGTGATGCGAATGTTGCTCCACCAACACCCACCTTGAACGCCTTCGTGTCTCCGAAAGCATCTCGTGCCGTGTTGGGGCAACTTGGCGGGCTGGACGCTCTAGAGGCCCGCCTACTAGCCGAAGTGGGGACTCGCAAAGTCGAACGACTTCCCGACAGACCAGACGTACGCTCTGTTCTCCCCATCACGATACCCAAACCGGACGCTTCTATAGATCTCAATGTTGATTCTGCCATCTCTAGTCTCTCATTACCAGGCCTTGGCGCGGATGAACGTACTGAGCGCCTCGGTAGAGAAGGCCCCTCTGCTGAGTACAGTGATCGAGGGAGGTTTCGTGTACGAGACATCGAAGACGACACGGTGGACAAGGAGCACGCTTCGAAGACGGAATCGGAGAAGAAGATACGAAAGAAGAAGAGCGGGCAGAAAGCTCAGGGAGAGGCTTTGAAGGAGAAAGAGCTTCAACGTCTACGCAAGGCCGCCCGGGGTCGCGTTACTGCTTGGCTGGGTGGCATTGACCCGGAAGCACCCTCGCAGCCTGCAACCCCCCCTGCAGACTCGTCACCAGAACGTACTCAGGATAGGAGGTCTCCGTTGGGAGATGATCATACCGTCCTTCGATCCGCACGGCGGCTTATTGAAACCACGCAAACAACGAATGCAATAGAGTCGCAGCAAGTCGAGATCGAACTTGAGATCGAATTGTCTGACGTAGGGCCACCGGCTCAAGCGGACAAGCCGGTGGAGGACAAGCCTAATCCTCGTTCGAGTGGCTTTATGCCCATTCGCCCTCGCGACGACAAGTCTCAGGCAGCAGAGGAGCAGAAGTCAGGTCAAGCTGTACGCAGAGCGCATCAGTTTGTTTGGCCACAACGTCAGGCGGACCCTGAGGCCCACTACGATATCCGCTCCGCGCGTGGTGGTAAGGGCGGACAGGTCACCGCTGTTGCAGCCATTTGGGCCCAAGCAACTGACCAGAAGCCCGCAGTACCGCCACCGAAATCTCCTCCACCGAAAATGTGGAACAGAACACCGCTGAAGACTCCATCGGGCCCTTCCCCGCTTTCGCAGTCGTCTGAGAGCACGAATGACAGTAAACCGCGCATAATCCCCGCTTCGCCTGCGGCAGAACTCGCCGCGAGGCGTGCCAAGTTGGCGAAGTCATCTTCGGTACCTGCCGTCCTCTCCTCGTCGCTCGCCGCACCCATGCTGTCCTCTACGGCGTCCCTTGCTAGACCGTTGCTGAAACTAAACCCGAAGCTTCCAACGCGTCCGGCCGTGATCCAGGAGACTCCTGAAGTCAAGAGTGATGGTGCAGATATGAAGGCTCCAGCCAAACGCGAGCTTGCTTTTGGCCAGGCGAGACTACGAGAGCTCATCAAGAAATACCAAGGCTAATACCCCATGCACTATCTCGGACCCATCCACCATTCACGACCCATCACGTAATTTATCTCCATTACCATGGATTCTGTTCGATCTACACCATTTATACAAGGATCTTATTCAAGCTACGACTGTCATGACCTACATAAATGTAAATGTTCTGTACCCTGTCCCGTCTATAATGTTTCTATAGCTCGTAGCAAACAGTGAATTGTAGCTCGTCCGAATCGACCATCGAGGATCTAAAAACATGTATTGCATGACAACCGGGGAACACGAGAATACAACGAAGAAAAATTAGACGAAAGAGTCTTCCAGACGACCGACTTGTCTGTAGTGGTGTGCAATCAGTTCTGCAAAATGACAATACAGAGCTTAGGACGTACCTATCCCGAATAGCTTCCTGCCATCGCTGTAATTTGGCGATCTCGTGCACTTGAAAACCAAAAATCTTTGGCCTGTACCTTTCTGCTTTGAGCGCCACGGCAGCCGTACTTGTCCCTTCACCTAGGCCCTCTGTAGGCAACTCCTGCTCTTCGCGTCGCCGTCGCTTGCCATCCCCTTCAGTCCCTCGAATCCCAAGATCGACGGGACCGCTCTTCGGCGGGATCAAATTTGGATAGACTAGGAACAGGAGGTGAGGGAACGAAGTGCCAAAATATGCACCATCGATGGAGCCATGGCGAGACGACTTGGGAGAGTATATGTCTTCACAGCGTCCACAGTAAAGTTTGACTGACTTCTCATATGGGACATCCGTGAGGCCGACCGGGAGCAGAGGCTGAGACTGGCACAGAACGCGTGGGCAGCGACCGAAATCTGCACGCTTGTATTTCTCAAGCTGTTTTACACGTTAGATTCGATCCTAAAGAGTGAAGTTCACAACGTACCATCTTCGCGAGGCCTCGAGCAGTCACAATCCACCGTGCATGAATCAAACCGTACAACAACCTCGCCTGCACATCGAGGGCACCGCGCAGCTCGTCCTGTATGTCGTCATCTGAAGAAATAAGCAGACGTTAGGACACATAGCACTTGAAGTGGAGATCAATGGAGGTACCAAGGTTGTCCGTTATGAGGTCAAGGGCCTGATTGTAGTTGGAGACTTCTGTGTTAAGACCGGTGAGGTTGAATCGGTCGAGGATGTACTCTTCCTCCACTTCACAGAAATATTCATTCCCCTTTGATGATAGAAACCACGAAATCCACTATGGTTCGTCAGGATAAAAGTTCAGATGGAACGAGGGAACTACTCTTACCGAACTAAGTACGCGGTTCAGAGCACGTTAGGGGGACGACGTATCACAGACGTACTTGGAGTAATCAGAATCTGAACCAGTCGAGATTTCTTCCACTACAGCCGACACATATCAGCATATAGCTCGAAGAACCAGCCGTACGAAAACTAACTGTATGGCTATTCTCCAAGAGGTCGCAAGGGTATGAGGACAAGGATGGTAGACGCCTGTAGCTCACGGTGAGGCCGCGCAGAGCGGCGCTCGGATATTGACCAGTGACCACCACCTCTGCATCTCAATCTCGTTACTACAGAAGCCCGGCAACCCATGCTCTCCTGAAAATTTATTCTCCTGTGGATTACGCACTTATAGATGCTCGGGGCTATTGCACTCCAAATGCCTACCGATCTGCGACCGACAACTCATCCAGCGCACTCGCTTGAAGTGGACCCGCCGAACTATGGTCGATGGAAAGGAATAACGCGTCTAACCGTCGATATACCGTCTTCTCAGACAGGGCAGCCGCGGACGGGCGCGCCTCACCCTCCACCAAGATGGAAAACACCCGAATTCCTGTTCTACGGGATCGTGTTCGCGCTGGTCGTTCCCATGATGGTGTGGCTTCCAGTGAAGCTTAGTAACCGTACGTGCTTTT